GAAACGTTCAAAAGTTATGTGACCTCTTGGAAGACGCAACTCTGGAAGCAGGTTGATTTTGAAGCAATTGAGGATGTGAGTGAGAGAGGTTTCTCATTTCCATTAACATTACCAAAAATACTGTAGAATTGAGGCGTCTACACGTATTTCAAAAATCTAAGCTACTTGAATTAAAGCCCCTTCCTTGCCATTAAGGTGATTCGAGACATTTCGTTGGAGTTGCGATCAATGGACAAAGATGTGAAGAAATGGCCAGTCTACAAGGGTCTAGAGGCGGCATTGAAAGACATTGGCGCTTCCATGTCTGCAGTTAGTGATTTGCAGAATCCTGCAGTCAAAGATCGCCATTGGGTGGAGCTCATGCATGACACCGGTGCTGTAATTGACATCAGTGACGATACCACACTGGATGCTCTTCTATCTTTGAATTTGCACAAGTATGAAGATGAGGTGCATGGCATTGTCTCAAAGGCCATGAATGAGCAGAAAATTGAGGGCGATTTGGAGAAGATTGACTCCATTTGGAGGGACATGTACTTTGAGTATGAGGCACATGAGCGAACCGGTCTGCTGTTGCCCAAACAAACGGAAACTTTGACCACATTCCTTGAGGAGACTCAAGTCAAGGTGCTTGATATGATGGCAAATCGAGACAATGCCTATTCGATTGTCAAGATAACCTATTGGAATAAAACTCTCTTCACTGCAGACAAAGTTCTCTCCTTGTGGTTTGAGACTCAAAGAGTGTGGTCAGGTCTGGAGGCCATATTTGTCCTCTGTGATGACATTCGTGAGCAGTTGCCAAAGGATACAGACCTCTTTTTTGAGCATGACAAGGAATTTCGACTGTTAGCCGAAGAGATGGCCAAAAAACCGAAAGTTATTGAGGCCACTACTAGTCAACCCGAGCTCTTTGACAACATTCAAGCTGTGCGCGATGGCTTGGCAATTTGCGAGAAGACATTAGCTGTCTACCTGGAGACCAAACGATTAGCTTTCCCACGATTCTACTTTGTTTCACAGGCTGATTTGATGGATATTGTGAGCAAAGGAAAAATGCCCGTGAAGGTGTTCAAACACCTATCAAAACTGTTTGACAGCATTTGCAACCTTGAAACTAACCAATCAAATACCGAGTTGACTGCTTTGAAGATGGAAGCCAAGGTAAGGTCAAATTTTTGCTCCTTTCCAAAATTTATGCTCCACGAAAATTGCTACACTTGACAGACCCTCAATCTTATGGTGTATGTATTTTCACAGGATGGTGAGGTTGTCAAATTCGTCTCAACATTCACCCTGGAGGGTCAAGTGGAGGAGTGGTTGAACCGCCTACTAGATGAGATGGTTCACACAATGCGTGTAACTCTATCGGAAGCCGTGGCGGCTTACGAAGAGAAGCCTCGTGATCAGTGGATTTTTGACTATCCTGCTCAAGTGGCTCTTACTGGCTCACAAATCGGGTGGACCGCCGAGGTTGGTATTGCATTTGCACGCCTGGAAGAGGGTCTTGAAAATGCCATGAAGGAGTACAATAAGAAGCAGGTCGCCTCTCTCAGCACCCTAATTGAGATGCTGCTGACTGATTTGACACCTGGAGATCGCCAAAAGATCATGACCCTCTGCACCATTGATGTGCACAATCGTGATGCCGTCTCCAAACTCATCACCATGAAAGTGGATAGCTCGAGAGCCTTCCCCTGGCTCTCCCAACTTCGTGTTCGATGGGATGAAAAGGCAAATGAGTGCTTTGTCAACATTTGTGATGCTGAATTTGCATATGAACACGAATACTTGGGCTGTACACCCCGTTTGGTTGTTACACCTTTAACGGATAGGTGCTACATTACTCTGACCCAATCTCTTCACCTCGGGATGAGTGGTGCACCCGCTGGACCCGCTGGAACAGGCAAAACAGAGACAACAAAGGACTTAGGACGTGCTCTTGGCACTATGGTCTATGTCTTCAATTGCTCTGAACAGATGGACTACAAGTCGGTGGGCAACATCTACAAAGGTTTAGCTCAGAGTGGTGCCTGGGGCTGTTTTGATGAGTTCAATCGCATTGCTGTGGAGGTTCTCTCCGTCATTGCTGTGCAGGTGAGAAAATAGTTGCATTTTTATTTGTAAAATTTCATCCAGACAGCTAAAAGACAGGTATTTTCCTCTACCTTCCGACAGGTTAAATGCATTCAGGATGCAGTGAAAACAAAAAAGTCGACATTTGACTTTCTGGGTGAAACGATACCACTGAAGCTCTCCGTGGGCCTCTTTATCACCATGAATCCCGGGTACGC